TATGAAGGGGTTTAGATAACCAAGCTCCTACACAGCTTACAGAAATGTGCCACATTTACATCTCTACATGTGCTGCACTGTGTATATTCATATGAGTGTTTTATTCTAAGAAGCTGCATAGCATTTACATAACCCAAAGTAGGCTGAAACAGGCAGTTTGTTGTATTTGCACGTCTAATAACTAACTTAAATTCTTAACCAAACGGAAGTAAGTACCTTTGAAATATAATTGTGCATTAATCATGTGGGGTCAAATGCTGGCACACATGAGGATGTTGTTCAGCGTCCTGCATGCGCTCTAATGAGCTGATAACATTCCATGACCTGTCTGTGCTCAGTCACCTTGGCAACTCCAGACAGTCCTCAGCATGCCTCGCAGAGGGACAGCGGCGAGCTAACAAATACAAATCAGCTGCTCATCCCAAACGAGTCAAGCCAGACAGACGAATACACCTCTAGAGCAGATCAGGTCTGAGGAAACATGCACAGAAATACTGCAATGACAACATAAACCTTATACAGGAGAAAAAATCTTATTTCAAATTTGGCAAGGACAAGAAACAAGAGATTTTCTTCACAGTATTGATTGTAACAACATTTCCGAACCAAGTAGGACACAATCTCTTCCTGTAAAACTGAGTTTCTGTCTTAACCAGCCGCAGCCCTGGAAAACAGATATTTTGTTGTTAGCTTGGTAGAGTCCGGTATAAATACAGATTTCACTTTTGAAATCTTGATTTGATTCTGATTCATCTGGGTATACTGTATTCCTGTTTTAATGTCCATTTTGCGTTCCTATATAAACGTCTTTGCTAATGTTGTGAATTATACAGGACGGTGTTGCAGACTAATTCAAATCATCAAATGTTATCTATTGAACTGTTTATCATGGAAATCGGCTCATAGATCATTTGTTTTGGGAATCAGATAAAAGTAGTCATGCTGTTTGTTTTGGATTCATTTGTTCATCATTTGTTTGTGACATATGTTTTACCATAATTTCATAGTAAGCCTTCTTTTTATTGTATCCCATTCAAAACATAAGATTATAAGGCAGTCTTCAGTGTCACATGATCCTTCAGAATTCACTCTAATATGCTGATTTGCAGCTCATGAAACATTTCTTATTATTATCAATGGTAAAAAAACAGTTGTGCTGCTTCATATTTTTTCTGGAAACGACAAGACTTTTTAAAAAATTCTATGATGAATAGAAAGTTCTAAAACAGAATTGATTTAATGTTAACATTTTGTAACAATATAAATATCTCTGCTGTCAATTTTGATCAGTTTAGTGTGTTCCTGATGAATAAAAGTATTTCTTTCTTTTTTTTTTTTTTTTAAATCCGACCCCACACATTTGAAAGGTAGTGTATAAATAATAATAAAAATATCAATAGTTAATTTACATTCAAATATGATATATTAACCATTTTATATATTTCTATATGATATCAGCAAAAATGTATGACATTTAATACAGACTGCAAATTGAAATCTGCAATATTGAAGGTGCTGTAGTAATACATTTTCATGCTACTACTGAAAATAGTACATACTTGGGAAAACAGCTTGGGATTTTAAGATCAGTAAAATATAGATTAATCAGAAAATCAACAATGTTTGGTGTCCTTATCGTTGGTATTGTGCTAGGAAATATCTAAAAATCCTTAGTAGTTATCAAATATGCACTGTAAAAAAATAATGTCTGAAACTTACAAATGAAGCAACGTTTATTGGAGTACGTTTTACAAGAAAATAGGTAACACTTTACAATAAGGTGTCATTTGTTAACATTAGTTAATGTATTAACTAACATGAACGAACAATAAACAATACATTTATTACACTATTTATTAATATTTGTTAATGTTAGTTAATAAAAATACAGTCGTTCAATGTTTATTCCTGTTAGTTCACAGTGCTTTAACTAATGCTAACAAACACAACTTGTGATTACTAATAATGCATTAGTAAATGCTGAAATTAAAAATGCTGCTGAAGTATTGTTCACACACTTCAGACTCAAAAGCAGAGTGGATTGAGCTTTTTCAGCGGCCGGGCCGCGGTTGTGGAATAACCTGCCTTTAGAGATTAGATTATCCCCTTCTCTGACCACTTTAAGTCTGTCTTTTTTCCCTGGCTTATTAATAATCTTCTATTATGGTCTTTGCCTAGTATTTTGTCCTCTAATGGCGCTTTTCCACTGCGTGGTACGACTCGGCTCAGTACGGTACGGCACGGCTCGGTTCGGCTCGGTTCGGCTCGGTTTGCGTTTCCACTGCAGTTTAGTACCACTTTAGAATGGGCGGGATTATTCACATGTCGTTAGTTGCGCCGCCTATACTGCCGCAACTCCTGAAAAACTTTCTCATTCCGTGTCGCCCCATCAAGCTCTCACCGTGCCGTACCATGCAGTGGAAAAGTGCCATAAGTGTCTATCCTTTGATCCCCTTGTTTTATTATCATATTTAGTTATTTATATCATTGGGGCTAGACGCTGTCTTAATTGTGTTTAGTTGTGCTGATTTCTATTTTTTTATTTTATTATTTTTTGAACCTCTGTACAGCACTTTGGTCAGTCGTGTGGCTGTTTTTATGCACGCTATATAAATAAATTGAACTTGAACTTTTTCATTCTTAGTTCATGGTAATTAAAGGTGGGGTAAGCGATTTTTCAAAAATGCTTTAGAAAACTGATTCGGGCCGACTAGCAAAACAAACTTCAGCAAAGTTTCAGCAAACTAGCAAAAAAAACAAGCCAATCAGCAGTAAGGGGCGTGTCTACTCATGCTGTGAAGGAGAGAGCATTCAGTGCTCACATTAGCTGAGCCGAGCGACAGAAAGATAGAGATGGCGGATAAAAAAACAAAAGAGGAAAACGTCTGCGGAACAAAAGAAGGCTTACGATAAGGCAAGAAGTAGGACCCGTGTAAATATCGGATCAGCTTTCCAGCACTGGAGAGAACTCAAGGAGCGGAAGGCCTGCGATCGGATGCCGAGGTTGCTTTGTTTCCTCTCGATAGGTGAGTAACACCGTGTCTACACCGCGCCGCAACAGCTAAAGTCTGTCTAGTACACTGGACAAAGCGACCGTTGAAAATCATTTGAAATTTGTGTCAATACGTCATGAATAGAACGCAGCAGCAGTTTTCTGTCGGGGATTTGCCGTGTCGTGCCGCGCCGCGCCGTATCCAGTGTAGACCATAGATATGTATATATATCTATGGTGTAGACAGCATCACTGATTATAATGAGTTCTATAGTATTTTGTCGCGCCGCGCCATTCGCGTCTGGTGTAGACACGGTGTAACATTGGTTTGCTTTGTTTCACAGAACTAATCGTTGCCTGGGTTGCTTACGTATGTGTAGGGCGGAGCTATCAAAATAGGGGCGAGACCCTTTTGGGGTAGGGGCGTGTTTGTTTTGGTGATTTGAAATATCAACATTGGTTACCAGAAATCGCTTACCCCACCTTTAAATTTAAATATTACTTGCTGTTTATTTATAATTATTTGTGGAATTTACTAGCAATTTCTGGTTGAAAATTGTTTCCACACCATTTTTTTATGTGTGTGCTTAGCTGCATCACAATGCATTACTGCTGGAAAACACATGAAGGCTTGCTATTGTCATCCAAGCAAAACATTCATTTTTATGTTAGATTGTAACTGTGATCCACTTATTCGATCTGACGTGATGTCAAACAAACACAAGGTGAAGTGCTTTCAGATTGTGAACTTTCTCACTTCGCAGTGACTCGGTGGCTGTTGACAGCGATTCCCCATCAGACTAAACCAACAGCGCAGGTTAAGAGAGGCCAACACCAAAGCTCCGCTGACAGCTTAAACAAACACATCTAATTTCCTCTGTAATTTCCTAGTTTTGTGTTCACATAAACACACACACATGCACACGCATTTAACACTGCATCTGCAACAATGAGCTGTCCTCTGCGCACAGCTGCAGCTAGCAGAAGGAAGGCTGCGTTCAGCAACATCAGGTGTTGTGACACTGAAAATGAGAGCCGGCTCTGCGAGGGGCCCCTCGGGGGACATAGCCAGATCTGATGAGGCCAGATCCTGAAGATGGCACATATGGCTCCAAACTGAGACCCTCAGCTGATTGTGACATGATTGTTCTTTGGGGCGCCTCAGACTGACAATAAATCAGCCAATGAAATCTTTCACAATGCCACTCTTTGGCGATTAAAAGCAGTTAATCATTGCTCAAAAGACTTCCATGTGTAAAACATCTATCATCTTTACAATTGTGCAGCTTACACTATTAATACAATGAGGTCTGCATTAATATTAAATTATTATAAATGTTATATTTTTAAAATAAAATATTAAATTATATAAAATATAAACTACCTCCAAATGTTTAGGGTTGTATTGTATTTATTTTAATTGAAAGAAGTCACTTATGCTCACAGAGGCTTCATTTATTTGATCAGACATTCAGTAAAAAACTGTAATATTGTGAAATATTGTTACAATTTAAAATAACTGTTTTCTACTTAAAATATTTTTTTAAATTGTAATTTATTCCTGTGATCAAAACTGAATTTTCAGCATCATTACTCCAGTCTTCAGTGTCCCATGGTCCTTCAGAAATCAGTATGCTGCTCAAGAAACATTTATTATTATCATTGATGATGAAAAAGTTGTGCTGCTTCATATTTATTTTTTGTGGAAAACATTAATTTTTTTCAGGATCATTTGATGAACAGAAAGTTCAAAAGAATGGCATTTATTTGGGGGGGAAACATTATACATGTCTTTATTGTCACTTTTGATCAATTTAAAGCATCCTTGCTGAATAAAAGTATTAATTTCTTAATAACAAAATTATTAATTTTTAATTTCTTAATTAAAACTTTTGAATGGTAGTTTATAATTTATATAATATATTCAATAGTTAATGTACATTAAAATACAATCTATTAAGCATTTCATATATATCAGCAAACAGCAAAAAAAGTAATATACACTTACCCATTGGCTAGGTCATCATCATCGACGTCATCATCATCGTCGTCTTCATCTTCTGGTTGGCTCTTGCCCGTCAGGTTGCCGTCGCTGAAGTTACCAGACTTGAGGTCGGCCAGGTCATCGTCCGCGGCGTCCAGGCCCTCGATGAGCTGGATGCGCTGCAGGTGGCTGATCTGCGTTGTTGCTCGGATGGGCAGCGAGTGGGCGGTGACCCCGGAGGAGGGGGCGTCACCAGCCTGCAGCCGAGGGCTGGACTGGCCTTGGCGCCAGGAGAGAGGAGAGGAACGGTTGGACAGGCTAGAGATGCTGCGGGCGTTAGTCTCATCGCTGTCGTAGCACATGCTGTTCTCAATACAGCTGGAAGACAAGAGAAAGAGAAGGTGGTTAAATCGAAAGCATGTTGTTAGAGCAGTGTTATTTTAGTATCATTGAAATACTATTATAGTTTTTTTTTTTTTTTCATATTTTGAATGCTTTTATTTTTGCTAACCCTGGAACAACATATAAAACCACCAAATTTTACGTAATCGCAACGTTTAATCGCAACACATAATCATTGCAGTTAATAGTGTTCACAGATGATTCTTACTGTACATTTCTGTCATAGTCACCACTAATAACCTACTCCTAAATATAATGTAGAAACTTAAACTTTTCTGTAAAGCTGCTTTGCAATGATTTGTACCGTGAAAAGCGCTATACAAATAAACTTGAATTGAATTGAACTATCAGACCAAGCAGCTTTTGTTTGTCAAAACATGTGATCCATGTAACCAAGTTGAACCCATTGCGAAATCTGTGTGAAAATCTTTCGCCTGGATTCGCATGGATTCCTATTAAAATGATTGGATTTCACCTGCGGAAACTCGCTGAACAGTTGTAATGTTGTAATTAGAAAATGTTGTAATGTTAAAATTAGCAAACTAACATAGTCTGAGAATAAAAGCTTTCTCAGTGCATTCAAAATAAATGTCCCATTTCTGACACTATAACTGCAAAAAAAAAAAAAAAAACATATCGGCTGCTGCCAATTTTTTAAAACTGGCCAAATATTGGTCAATATATTTGTGGATATACAGCTGATTCCTCTTGAAATTACTAGATTTCACAAGCGAAAATGTATCGAAGAATTGTAAACGTTCACCTTTAAAAGTTTCGAAAAAGACAAGCAAAACTGAGTAAGTGAGTTCACAATTGTAATATGTTAAAGGGTTAGTTAATCCAAAAATGAAAATTCTGTCATTAATTACTGACCCTCATGTCGTTCCAAACCCGTAAGGCCTTCGTTCATCTTCAGAACACAAATTAAGATATTTTTGATGAAATCCGAGAGCTTTCTGACCCTGCATAGACAATGCTATACTGACACGTTCAAGACCCAGAAAGGTAGTAAGGACATCATTAAAATAGTCCATGTGACATCAGTGGTTCAACCGTAATGTCATGAAGCTACGAGAATACCTTTCTTTGCATACAAAAAGTATTCTCGTAGCTTCATAAAGTTACAGACTATTTTAATGATGTCCTTACTACCTTTCTGGGTCTTGAACATCTCAGTTGCGTTGCTGTCTATGGAGCATCAGAAAGCTCTCAGATTTAATAAAAAAATATCTTAATTATTGTTCCTAAGATAAACGAAGGTCTTACGGGTTCGGAACGACATGAGGGTCGGTAATTAATGACAGAATTTTCATTTTTGGGTGAACCATCATTTTAAGACATGCATTCCTAACGCTGTTTTCAAGTAATGTTGGAATTACATTTTCTCACTAGAAAAAAAAATCTGAATTTTATAAAACTTGCTGAAGATGCAAGTGACATGCAAAAAGTATTACAAGAATCTTATGTGACTCATTTTTTCATTTCACCAACCATTGGCAGATGTGGCAAAAACTTAATTTTGGACTCTGTCTAGTCAGGTTTTCAGCCTGGAATTAACGTGAAAAAACCTCTTTAACTGCACAGAGATGTTTCAGAGGGTGCAGGCGAACTCATTCGTCATACTGGATATAACTGTCGGCTTATCACACACACACACCCATTTCATCAACACATCACAAAACTCATCTCAGTCTCACACATCTTGTGGATGTATGTCTATGTAGTCTCTGGTAAGTGATACATCACCCGTGGGGATTTGAAGGTAAAACATGTCTGAGGATGTTTAATTTCCTTCATGCCTGCTCTACACGCCGCTCAAGCTTTCTACAGGAAGTCAGTCGTGCACACGGTGACCCCTCGGGTGCCTTTCTCTGATTTTAAAATAGTAGGTCACGCTTTAGGCAGCTGGAGGAACCGGCTGACCTTCTGCTGATTCAACACCCACCCATCCCCGTCCGAACTAAAGCCCTCATCTGGATAAACTCATATCCTCCTGAGTTGTGACTGGCCTGCAATGATTTTAATGCTCTTATTTAGTTTCCAGGTGTCCAGGTTTGGTTTTAATACTTTTAAGCCCAGCGGATGGATGGAGATTATTTTCTGCTGACCTTGAGCTCAACTTTCAAAGTATAAAAAGCCTTTGAATAAAGTTTGCTCCAATTTAAAAGAACTGAACAATTTACAACTGACAGCATATCACAGCATCTCACTCGTTTTGAACTCAAATCGCTCGAATACCCACAATGCACTGCACATTTGTGGTTATCACAATTTTCTGTAGAAGTTTTCTACAAATAGCAAAAGGCTGAGGAAAACATCCCCAGAAAAGACGACAGTGGCTTTCAGAGCATTGACGTGAATGTGAATTATCCTTCGATAAAATGCCAGGCGCTTCTGTTTGCCTGACTTTTGTGCTGAATAATGATAATGATGGCTAAATGACAGTGATTATCGTTCCTTTTATCCTTCAACGGGCCCTTCTGAGAACACTTCAATCAGAGGAAGAGAACATATCACAAATCAAGAAAGTAGCCATTGTTATGCATCATAAAGGACTGTAAGGCCACACAAAACACTGGCATACAGTATGTCTATTATATAATTTGGGCTCAGCACATTACAGACTTTCTCTCGACAGGGGCATTAGTGTTTATGTGCAGAAGATGCATTAAATCAGGCCAATTAGATTAAGGTTTTAATAGAATGACTTTAAAGCTGCTGAGGCAGAGTAATTTTATACTAGGAGGCAGTACTAAAATCCCTCAGACACACTCAGGATAAGTGAAAGATAGAGTGCTAAGATACACTACGCTGATGAATCTCTTGTAGTTCATCTGTTCAAGTCTGTCAGGAGAGCTGGATTTGAACTCACATTGCCTGTATGAGCACCACGGCTCAATGCGTCAGAGCACCAGCATCCACCAGTAAGCCATGGCTCTGACAGCTGTTACACAACAGATTTAGTGTTTAGCTTGCAGGGATGGACTCTCTCCAGGCCTGTTGGTTTATAATGCACCATTAACAGCTTCCTCGAGCGACTTCCTCTGGTTGAAGGAGAGCTTATTGCTTCTTTAAACAACACTCAAGCAAAAACATTGCCAGTAGCTCTGGTTTCCAATACACTAACACAACATACTGTGTGAGGTCTAGCAGGGGTTTGTGGTTGTGGCTTTGTGATGAGAGGCTAATCCATCCTTTTGCTGTAGGGTTTGTATGTGTGTTTGTAAACCTTGGACAGCAGGAAACAACAGAGGGAGGTGCTGATGTGAGAAGGACAGAGAAACATCTGCTGCTCTAGTCCTTCGGTGATGTTTAGACTGCATACACTTGCAGATATGTAATATTCCTCTGAATGACATTTGAATATGACATTACAGGCGGACATTTTACACTTTTCTTTTTTTTTTAGGAATACATTGATATTAAACTTTAAAATACATAATAATAATAATAATAATAATAACAATAATAGTAATAATAATAACAATAATAATAATAATAAGAATTATTATTATTATTATTATACTATTAATATTATAATATTAAAAATACATCATTATACTATTTTAATTGAATTTATTCTAAATCATTTAAAAGCAAAAATATCTTTCATTTAAATCACAACATTATAACAGTACAGTTATGAGAAATGGATATTCATTTTAAGTTCTGGTAAGTGTTTTCTTCATTTGAGATACCTCAAATGAGCATTAAATTACAGATAAGCTAAATATAAATAAATACATAAATAATCCAATAAAGGAGAATTGAGTACTATTAAATACCCTGATATATCAATAAATCAGCCAATATATCCAATAATGACTAATATGATACATTTACAAATCTCTAATATGTCTATATACGTTTAAAAATTTTGGCAACCCTACATTTTATTATATCATTACCAATTTGAGATATTATTTTAATTTTAAAACCTAATTTGTGTGATTTACTAGCATTAAATAACCAAAAATAATAAATGAAAAAAAAAGAACACAGAACAAAACTTTACAATAGAAAAAAAACAAAACAAAACAAACAAAACAAAAAAAAACACAAAAACACACACACACACACACACACACACACACACACACACACACACACACACGACAGAAGTGACAGAAGTCCTCTCCATCTTTCGGCTAAAGTCAGGGTCAGGAATGCAACTCATGCTTGTCACACACACACGCACACGCACACACACACACACACACACACACACACACACACACACTTATAAAATAGAAAAACAACAAAAAAGCACAAAACAAAAACACAAAACCAAACAAAAAGCAAAGCAAAAAAAACAAAAACAAATAACAACAATAATAATAATAATAATAAATTAAATCACAAAATTAATTAGCCAAAATGAAAAAAAGGAAAATAAATGGGGAAAAAACTGAACAAAACTTTACACTACTACTACAAAACACAAACCAAAATAGAATAGCAAAACAAAAACAAAAAACAACAAACAGACACAGAAATAATACAATTGCAAAACAAGCAAAAAAGCACAAAACAAAACCAAACAAAAAGCAAAGCAAAACAACAACAGCAAAAGCACAAATCAACACACAAAACCAAACAAAAAGCAAGGCAAAGCAAACAAAAAAAATCACAAAACAAAAACAAACACACGGCACAAATAATAAACAAACAAAACGCATGTTGCAGAATAAGTCCACATTTTAATCTAACCACATGGTAGAATCCATGGCCTATTAAAGGAGAGCAGGACTAGAGGAGTGAGCTCCTGTACCTGTGGCTGAGCTGCGACCCCCGTAAGCTGGACATGGTATCTTCCAGGTTCTGCCGGAGGTCGAGGACATTCTGAACGGTGCGTTTCCTCTGGGACTCAGGATCTGTAGGAAAGAGCAGAGAGGAGAGGATGAGCGGCTGGTTAATGCAGTCATTTAGATGTGACCATACAGAAACAAGCACACCCATGTGCATTAATATTTAACGCTTTGTGGAGAACAGCCAAGAAAAACATTAATGTATAGATGCATGTTATCGAGTCATGGTCCACGTCTCCACTCACACACGTACAGTATCTCAGTGTTCAGGAACAACACACAAACGCCTTTCTCTCGCACTGTAAGAGTGCAGAGCAACGAAGCAGTGGAATATGACGATTCAGCAAGTGGGCAGCATTTCAGGCAGTACTAGAATGAATTAAACATTACATTTCCAGCTTGCCAAGATGCCAAAAGCTCTTTGAGCTACTGTACCAGCAAGCTCACTTAAACAGGACTTTAGTATTTATAAAAGGTCTCCTTTCAGTTTAATTGCTTTCTTTATTTAGGCAAATGTGCTTATACAGATTTATTTGACATTCTAGCTGTAAAACTGTGGGGAAATGCATTATACGTCTTAACTCTGACATGTTGAGGACTGTTTTAAAACTGCTGACAGTAAAAGTGCTGTATTACTTCTAATCAGCCTCCCACCCTAAAAAAAACAGTGCCGCTATAAGTGTCAGATCATAAAACCACATAGCGCAGTTTATAAAGAGGTTCCCCTCCGTTTATCAGTTCATCAGTTTGGCTTCACACACACAGACTCATATGGAATGAAATACCAGTGTAATAATTATCAGATACTGCCTACAATTTATGTTAAAATTATGTGAAACAGAATGAAATATACTGTTAATTTTATACATTAGCACGCTACATTGTTGTCAAATGACTTCACTATGTTTAACTTAGCAAGCCTGCTCATAACTTTGGAAATAAAAATGTCTTTGTAAAAATGCCTTAGCTTTTGACTGATCAAATAATGAAAAAAGAGACTCATTAGTTGATATTGCTTCATTTATACAGTTCATTTGTCACACTGCTAATTTAATGTAGAGCGCTTTGCACTGTGGGATAAAGTCTTCAGTACAATCTGCTCTGGGTGTATACAGCACATTTGAGCAAATGTATTAGGTTTACTGGGTATTCTATACATATTGATAATTCCCATACTATATATACACTGTAGAAATAGTATGAATACACACACAGACACACACACAACAAATCTCCTTTGTACCTCCCTCCCTACTAGCGGCACCGTGCTGTTCCTTCACACCGAGGCACTAAGTTGTTTTCCAAAACCTTCACCCTCTCTGCTTCTCTCTGGTGAAATGAGCTGCCAACGCATATGTATGCAAGTCTGGTCGACATTGAGGTTTATTCTGGTACCACACATTCATTATTACATTACCCTCAACTAATGATACTACAGGTATGCAAGTTACTCAAATAATAACAGCAATTTTAACAAAGTTTGTAAAAACAACTAAAAAGATTTTGTTGAAAAGTTCACAAAATTTGCAAACTTTGTTAAATCCAACATGTCACTGTTACCTGGATACACCTGCATCCACCCTAGAAATTGTGTATAAGTCAACTAACCAGAGCGGAATTAGTGATGACTTGAAATTTTGGCAAGAAGCAAGCAAACAAACATAAAAAATAAATAATCCGTTTTTGCTAAATGGTTTTGGCATTTATTACTAACCAAAACAGTTAGTGCTTCTCCGATAGCATGTTTTGACTGTTTGAAGTCTCTGCAAAAGAAAAGAAAAGAAAAGAAAAGAAAAGAAAAGAAAAGAAAAGAAAAGAAAAGAAAAGAAAAGAAAAGAAAAGAAAAGAAAAGAAAATGAAACAAAAGAAAACAAAACAAAACAATCAGTTTTAGCCAGAATGGTTTTGGAGGGAATTATTTACTGACCAAAACAGTTCCTTGATGACATGTTTTGCCTGTTTGAAGTCTCTGCAAACAAAACAAAACAAAAAACAAAAAATTATCAGGAAAAAAAAATAAAAAAAATAATCAGTTTTAGCCAAAATGGTTTTGGAGGAAATTATTTACTGACCAAAACAGTTCCTTGATGACATGTTTTGACTGTTTGAAGTCCCTGCAAACAAAACAAAACAAAAAAATAATCAGTTTTAGTCAAAATGGTTTTGGAGGGAATTAATTACTAAGCAAAACAGTTAGTGGTTCTCAACAGAATCAGAATCAGAATGAGCTTTATTGCCAGGTATGTTTACACATACGAGGAATTTGTTTTCTTGACAGAAGCTTCCACAGTGTAACAGAATTACAGTGACGTGGTGTAACAGTGATCCAATATATTACTGTCTCTGGTGGGACATCATATGACATGTTTTGACTGTTTAAAGTCTCTGCACACAATGTTGACAAATAACAACAGGAGAACATGTCAGTGTCGACACAATTCACAAAGAGCAAAAATCAAGTTTTTGGTTGCAATTGGGAAAATTTGTTCGTCTGAAATATCAAGAGGTAGTTTGAGGTCGAAAAACGTTACTACAACTGGTGTATCTCCTGTGAACAAGACACACTGAACTGCATCAATTACCCACTCAGCCAGCATTATTCAATTTACTTTTTAGGCTAAACGAAGAAAAAAAATATTTCATTTTCAGTAAAAACATTTTTTTTATATTTCTGTGCATCACTAATTATAACGACTTCATACGCAATACACTTTCGACAGCCCATGCCGTCTAAGGCAGAAACCCATGTCTGTTTGGTAGGATTAGTCTGTACCTGTCCCTGCCACCTTACATTCCTCCCAAAACCTGATCACTCACACCATCTTGTATGTTTCCCCTGGGGCGTGTTAATCCTGAAGCTTGACCAGTCAGCACAGCAAGACTCCATGCCAAAACCCTCTGTAATGACATCCAGACTGGCATTAGTCAAAGTCCTAGTTTTAATTCACTTTAATCTTCACCATAGAAAAATGATTGTGTGTGATTGTGAGGGTGTGTGTAGTGGATCAGCACATGGAGGTGGCCCATTGCTTTGTGATGAAAATGGAGAACCCCCCATGCGGCCCCCTATGGAGTGTCTCTTCATTCAGGCATAATCTCATACAATTAGACTCATGAAATACAATGAGTGTCCCAGAGTGGTTCAAATGGGCTGCTCTGTAAGTTAGGCTGCTGATGAGAGTGGTTTAATTTACAGTTTGGCTTATACTGTACATAACTGCGGCCTTCTACATTGGTCATAGTTAAGTCATGCTATGCTCTGTCTTAGTCTTAAAGGCTTTAAATACTAATGAAGACACCTTCTACATATAATACTGCATACAGTGGGTACGGAAAGTATTCGGACCCCCTTAAATTTTTCACTCTTTGTTATATTGCAGCCATTTGCTAAAATCA